TTAGTGAAATTGAGCCCCTTACATTCTATTCTCCAACAACTGCTCAAACCAGACTTCCTCCCCCACCCAGTCCTCCACAAAATACTCTTGATAACCCTTTCTTCTCCATAGATCTAAACACTTCTGCAGTGCCCACTGGACCTGGTCCATGTGAAGACATGTTGCCTGAGAACATGTTTGAAGGAGATCTACCAAAACATAGGGCTTCCGAGTCTAATATTCTGGCAGCGAGTGAGGAACTCGTGATTGAAAGTCTGGCAATGATGCGAGAAGAGGCCAGAGCAGAAAACACTGATGTCCTGGAAGGAGAAGAGGTCAGGCCTTCTCAACCCATTTTCGATAAAACCCCCGATTTGGGGCGGTACTCCTCTTTCTCTTCATCTGAATCTGCAAGTGAGGAAGTACCATTAAAATGGAAGGTTGAGAGTCGAAAAGGGAAAGAAAAGTTCGTGGAGGAGACTCCTAAGAGACGACCTAATACAAGGTCTGCTGCACAAAAATTGATGGTAGATGCCTTGAAGGCAAGCGCACGCTCTGCTGCTACAATCAGAAGTGCACGAACCTTCAAGGTATCAAATTTTAGGATACCTAAAGAAAAATTGGTTGAGTTGTCTGGAGAAGAGGTTGAAAAGAAAAATAACAAGAAGAAGTCAGAAAAAAAAAGGGAAAGGGTTACAAAGAAGGTTGAAAAGTCACAGTCAAAAGGGAAGAGATCTGAGAAAAAGAGAAAGCGGACACAGGGACCTGGTCCTCAATCCAGGAAAGTTGAGAATGTCAACTTGTAGGAAGTAGTTGACAGTCTGAGGAAACAAGCAGTTCTCGCTGGAAGAGTGTTTGATATGGGGATTATTACTCTTCCGGGCATGGATTCTCTGCATGACATGGTGGAGATCCAATCTTGGCTACACCTGTTCAACAAGAAATCCCCGATCCTCCATGAAGAAGAGGTTCGTGAATTCTATTACAATGTTCAATTCATGGAAGATGGGAGTCTCCTCACACGTGTGAACAATATTGCTATTTCTTTGAATGAGGTGGTGTTGGGAAGAATCCTCAGAGTGCCTACAGAGGGGACCTGGTTCGTGCTGAACAAAACTTGCTCTTCAGAATTTGCCTCCATGATTTCTAAGACTCTCACATCTAAGGTTGCTGGGATCTATAAGAAAATTATGAAGAGTGAGCATCAGCTGGTCTTCGAGTTCGTCAACAAGGTGGTTCTTCCTCGCACAGAAAAGAAAACACTTGCTACTGCTGCTGACTTGTACGTAATGGAGATGCTTGCAGCTTTGAGGCTCTGAGCCTTCCTAGTCTCATGATTTAACACATTCACAAAACAGTTATTGAGAGGAAAGGAGTACATGGAATGGGGTATGGATACTTTCTCACTGAAGTATTCAAGCACTTTAAGATTCCTCTTGGTGTTGGAAAGGTGGGGACAGTTAAACAAACTATCTCTGAGCATACCTTGTTTGAATGTGAATGTATTGAAGGCAGAGGCTTACCAAAAATCAAGATGGCTCAACTTCTTGAGGACCTAGATCAGCTTAAACATGAGATTGAAGAACTCACTGTGCGGTTGAGTAGTAAAGAGGCTGAAATTGATGTACTCAAAGCAGAGCTGCTTACTGCACAGAGTGAGGGACCTGGTTCTTCAGTTGTACAAGCTCTGGAGAAAGAGAACAATGAGTTGAAGGCGAAGATAACTGCCCTGCAAGAAAAGGCCATCAAGGATAATGATGCTGCCAATGCACGACTCACTCTTGTTATCCAGTCCCTATCTCAATCTCCCCCCTCTTCCTAAATTGTCAATCAATCCTTCCCTGTGTCATTTTTTTGTGTGGCTGATCATCGTGTTGATGGATTTTTAGTTTGTCTTTAATGTATTTATGTTATAATGGCATGTTGGTTACTTTATTCCTTTGCTGTTCTTTCTATGTTCTTTTGCGATTGCTCTTCCTCTACTGTTTGATTTCTTATTCGCTCTGATCTTGCTCAGTATTTATGTTGACTCAATGGTTTACTGCATATCCTTTTTATGATGCCAAAAGGGGGAAGTAAACTGTTAGTATCTAAATAAGGGGGAAGTAATCTGTTAGTACCTAAATAAGGGGGAATATACAGTAAGGGGGAATACACTGTCAGGGGGAACAATTTTGGTGAAGATCTCAGATCATATCATTGTTTGTCATCATCAAAAAGGGGGAAAATGTTATTTGTAGTTTTGATGATTTGACAAACTTAGGGACCTCATAAAGGTACCGGGTTTTCTACTTGAGTATTGCAGGTGTCTTGTTTGAAGTATTGCAGATGAAACAAACTCAGGGACCTAGTAGAGGTACCAGGCTCTCATGATGATGAGCCAGCCGACTGCCAGCTGGAGACGGTACAGAAAGTAGGTGCACACTTCCCGATGGCGTCAGAAAAGTGTGACCTTTCCGGCCAATGGCAAAGAAGTTTAGGAAAGTGACTTGCCCATATAAAAGGCACTTTCCTAAACATTTGTGATTAGTTTTTGCAACTTGATAAAAAACTTTTCAAGAACTCTCGCAAAGGCTACACAAAGCAAAGGCAGAATTATTCCAAGGACAACAACAACATCTGGAGCTTTTCGTCTAGTTGTTTAGGAATTTATTCTCTTGTTCTTAAATTGTAAACCACTCCTAACTCTATAAAGGAATTGGCGTGTTGTGTTAGAAGTCTAGGTTGTGCAGGTGGGATAGCTTAGAGGGTAGATTGTTTTTCTACTTAGGCTTGTTGACCAATAGAGGACTATTGCTTAACGGTAAGATTGATAACTCTTTCTTACGTTTGGTGTAATCGTGTTTCGCTTTTGCTTTTGAAGATTAGTGAAAACGATTGAAAAACCTGTGAGACAGGTCGTGATTTTACTCTCTTAAGCAAGGAGGTTTCCACGTAAAATCATTGTGTTGATATTACTGCATTTAACTTTCTGGTATTTTTTCTGAAGTGAAGTAAGGGACCTGGTCCATTACTTATTAAGTGAAGGCATACATTCTATCAAAGGCTGCTATTGTAAACCCAGTCTACCATGAAAGGACAAAATAGTATTTTCACCGTGAAGAGAAAGGGAAAGTGAAGCTTCTTAGAAGATTCGGACACGTTGTACTTCAGCCAAACTCCGGTGAACTATTTATGGATGTCTCGTTGTCTACCGGTATAAGCAAGAGAACAACTACAGAAGTAACGGGGAGCAACTACCAATCAAGTGAGCTTTGACTCAATTCTTGATTCTGGTTTGTTGTTCTTTCTGTATATTTGAAATAATGAAATAGCTACGCCTTAATTGACTTCTTTCGCTACCAACGATGGATTTGAAAAACATATAGAAATAATGAAGTTCTTTTTCTTTGTCCCTAATCCCTAATTACTTGTTCATTTTTGAATGGGCACATCTATTAAGAAATTCATTATTAATATAGTGAGTTTACCATTTTAACTATATTATTTAAGAAGGGGATGAATTAAAATGTTAAGATTGTCGATAAATTGTACTTTTTTTCAAAATAATTAATTCAGGGTGTGACAGGTAAAATTATTTTGTTATTTCTTGATTTGTTACAATGGACAAGTATATAAATACAAATATAAAAAGAAAAGTGAACAAGTCATTAAGGACATAGAGAGTGTTAATAGTCTTTTCTAGGGGAATTAAAAAAAAATACTCCCTCTGTTCCATTTTATATTTCATCAAGAAAAGTGAACAAGTAATTAAGGACAGAGAGAGTGTTAATAGTCTTTTCTAGGGGAATTAAAACAAAATACTCCCTCAGTTCCATTTTATAATCCATCCTTTTCTATATATAGTTACTTCATAATACTTTTCATTTCATAAAATCAATGCATAAATTAGCATATAGTCCTTTTTTATCCTTGTGTGTTATTAGCATTGAAAACATACATTTGACCAATTTAGAAAAGTTAGGTAAATGATTCATGTTTGTTGGTTAAATTAATTCATATTCATTGATTGAAAACGTTAGTTCTAAAAAAAATTAATAAGGGTATAAATGTAAAGTTACATCATTTTTTAATGCAAGTGCGAAGTAAAAATATTATTAACAATAATAAAATAGTCTTTTCCATGAAGGTATACTCGACTCTTATCTATTTTTACGTGTTTAGTGAATATTGCGATACATTTCTCGAGAAAAAATAAATTAATGATAATTTTTCCTAGAGACAGTGAATCAACAAATTACTTTCTCAGTCCAATAATACGGGTGCACTACTCCTCTATTTCTAATCACTCGTTCACTTTTTTTAGTTGTCCTTGATTACTAATTTATTTTGACAAATCAAGAGAGGACAATTTCTTTTTACCTATTCTATCCTCATTTGATTATTTTGAAAAATATAGAACTTCTTGAAACTCTTAAGTTTTTAATTCATTCGCTTCATAATTAATAAGGATGAGTGATATACTCACTATGTCAATCATTGTTTTCTTAAGGGAAAATGCACCAGTATCCCCTAGACTATGACCAAAATCTCATAGATATTCCTTAACTATAATATTGAGGTGATCAGATCGTGTGTCGCATTTAAGTTTCATTCTACATTATTAGAAGTGTAATTCACCAATAACGTCGCTTCTAGCATATTCAATTGAGAAGAAAAAACTGATAATATTTTTAATATCAAATAACATGAAAAATAAAAGAAAAATTGTGAAATTAAATGTTTCAATTACCAAAACAGTTCAAAATAGTAGTTTTGACATTTCAAAAAATAATAATTATGAAGAGATGACTTGATTTTTGTGAGATGTGTTGATTTTCTAATAAATTCAAATAGAAGGATGAAAATTGTTCATTTGTAAATACTTGAGAGATGTTTTCTGTTAAGAATAATAATTTAAGGATGTAATTTAAATGTGGAATAAATTTAAGGACAATTTTGGCTAAAAACTCACATAATTCCTATATAAAAAAACTTAGATGGAATTTGAAGATTTTTTGTGACGCTTCTTTCACTTCTGGTAAAAACCTAAACAAATCAAAGAATTTTTTTTAGTTGTATAGCAAAATGCCGATTGTTCATAAAGCATCCTCAATTGAACCAGTGCTGCAATCGGCGCCGTGGGCTGAGCTTCCGGTGGAAATCACAATGGACATTCTGTAGCGTCTGGGAACGATAGAGATAGTGAAGAGTGCGCAGAGGGTTTGTAGTACTTGGTGGAAGGTTTGCCATGATCCCGCTATGTGGCGTGTTATTGACTTGAAATATGACCCTCCCTGTGTCAAGCATTGTGTGCTGAAGAAAATATGTCGGATTGCGGTGGATCGTAGCCAGGGCCAGTTACTCAAAATTAGCATCCACAAGTTTGATAACAAAGACTTGCTCTATTACATTGCTGAGAGGTAATTTTCTTTCATGTTTAAATCAAATATTTTCCTTGTAATTACTCAATTACATAGGAGTTCTCAAAATGTCTCCGTCTTCTCAAATGTAATAGCGTTGCTGGAAGTTTGTCGGCAGCCGCTAAGAACTTGCCGTTGTTTGAGGAGTTGCGCATCCACTTGACCTTAATTACTGAAGAAGATATAGAAAGTGTTGGTCGTTATTGCCCTCTACTTAAGTCATTTACATTGAATGCCCGTGTACGTTTTAACTTTGGATATTCACGACTTCCAGATGATGGTCAAGCCTTAGCTATTGCTACAAGTATGCCTGAATTACGGTGCCTTGCACTAATTTTGAATCCCTTGACAAGTGTAGGACTTGAAGCTATTCTTGATGGCTGTCTACACCTTGTATCACTTGACTTGTGCCGCTATAATAATATTGATCTTGTAGGGGATATAGGAAGAAGATGCAGAGAACAGATTGCAAATCTAAAGTATCCTCATGATTATGAATTTGATTCTGAAGTTTCACATTACTTATCCTCTTATGATAACTACAAATCTAGGATGATGTATAGTTGTCTTGATTCTGATACATTCACCGGCTACAGGAACTATCATGAGTCCAGTGATGATGATGATTACTTTGATATTCCGTATTAACATTACTTTGATGTCATGGCCAAACCATTGCTGACTTGACTCCAGAGCTCAACATTCATTTCCAAGATATTTTTAATCAGGTACGAACGCTTTTAATAATATTGCCCCAATCTGTCATTATTTGCAATTATGTAGAAAAATAAAAAAAAGTTCAGTATACATAAATGTGTGTTACATCCTCCATTCATCTCTAAAGAGCTTCTCCAATTTTTTGGGTCATACTGAGGTTTTATATGCTCTTTTTGGTGGTTAACAGTCTCTTTACATTTTATGAGACTTTAGATCTTTTTGATTTGAAGTAAACGTTTGTTCAATTTAGCAACATTTTGATATTCAAAGTTAAAGGACTTAACTAAATTGATATTTTGTGTGACAGATTTTTCTGAATTAGGAAGACTTTAACATTTTTCCAGTGATTCTTTTACAGTAACATTGGTTAATATAATCAGCAAAGACTAAAAATATAACTACCAGATCTATTAAAAAGCAAAAGTAATCATCAGACATGTTATTCATCTAGTGTATCTCCCGTGGCTAAGAGAATAACTTAAAGGATACTTCACATCTTTAATCTGTCGAGAAAGTCTGTTGCTCAAGACTTGGTCGAGCCCTAACATGTTCGCAGGTCAAGAAGAGGACGAGCATCAAGAAAATTTGTTGATAGGTCACTGAAAAGTTGTAAGTGCGTGTGATGCTCTCTCTTTCTCTCTTCCGCACTAAATTAAACAAATTCCTTGGCAATCTCAAACGACATAAAAGCGTCAATAGCAGCATATTCAATTTGTCAATTCCTCTGCATCCCATTTACACAGTATAACATTCAATGGCTTCTCCATTACTTTCCCAAGCACCTCTATAGTAACACCAACACCGTCCTACACAAAGCTGGAGAAGAGTAACAGGGTGATTTTCCTCTGCCTTGAAACAGGGCAGCCACTCGATATCAAGCCGAACTAGAAGTTTATGGAGTCCCCGGCGATGGAGATGCACAGTTTCCAGAATCTAATCATTAAGAGTCATGAGGATACTTCACATCTAATGGCGGATTTACGATTTTTGTTGAGGGGTTCGAATTATAAAGACGTAAACACGTAAAAATTACAAGATAAAAAATATAGAGAGACGAGAGGAAACTATTAATTTTAATCTGCTAAATTCAACTTATATTGTCATGTTGTGTTTAGGTTCTTTCTACTTTTACCATGCTCTATCGAGCTTTGTTAAAAAAAAATTAGTGTCTTCTTTTAATTTGTAGTATTCTACTTTTCTGAACTTTTTTTTTTGAATTTTGATTTAGTTCCCGTTCAATCATATGTTACTTTAAAAATCATCAAGACTCTTTAGAAAACTGAAAAGATCGAGTGATTGATATAGTGCATATTCAGAAATATCCTCATGACTCTTAATGATTAATCTAAATTTATGTTATCTTATATAATATAATCTAAATTTACTTCACATCTTTTATAGTGCATATTCAGTACTTCTAAAATTTTCCCTTCAATTAATCTAAATTTATGTTATTTCATATAATATATTCTAATTCAGTTTTAAATTTTATAACAAATCATCGTTTTCTTATAGAGTTTCTTTGAGTTGTACATGAGAATATAGATATGTAAAAATAAAACGAGTAATATAAATAAGAAGAATAAAAGGCGAAAATATAAAAAAAAATGTGGCTAATAAATTTAAATAAAGACATTGAAAAAAAGAAATAATATAAAAGGTAAAATAATAAAAAAACAACATAATACATTTTTTATTGGGTATTCTAAGTCTAAAACTTGAGCCTTTTAAAAGCAAAAATAAAAAGTTTGAAAAAAATTGTACTAGTGAGAATCAAACTTGATACCTTAGATGATTCTGCAACACGTTTGGAACAAAATAAAAATATCTTCATTTTGAAATTTAGGTTAAAAATGAACATCCTAACCAATGAACAAGACTCAAGTTTAATTAGTAAAACGAATTATTTTTATATTTACACGCTTAAAGCTAAAACTTTATCTTATGTGTATGGTGTAATTTTTCAATGAAGGAGTTTGAATAAACGTCCTGAGCTGCACGTAGGTCCGCCCTATTCACATTGTTAATCTATCAAGAAAGTTTATTGCTCAAGACTTGGTCAAACCTAAAATGTTCTTCGCACATTTGCCTGTCAGTTGTCATATTGTTCCCAATGAGGTGATGCAAAGGCACACAATCATCTACAGCAATATAACCATGCAATATATTCAATCTATAAACCATTGATTATCATATGCTTTAAGAATATACATTTATCAGAAGTAGTTTCGTCCTCTCGTGAAACTCAAACTCAAATTGTTAGTGCATCGAAATATGGGATTCGATTCCATAATTATGTCGAAATGGAGAAATTCAATCCTATTTTTATGTCAGAACGTGACAATCTACTCCATCAACACACCACAATAACAACACAATCACAATACAAGTATACTCTCAAGTCATACAATCAAAGAGTGATTCATGACATATAATTATTCATCTATCTAATTGACAACAAGTGTGTATCAAAATTGCAACATTCACACATTCCTACATTCATTACAATGAAGCATAAACAAGAATACATCACACAATCATAGAATCACAATCATCACCTACCTCGAAACAAGCTTGAAATCCTAAGAAACTTGATTCTTTCCTTTCCGGATTCGTTCTGCTTGTTTTTGGTCTACAAACAATCAATATAATACGAGAATCAATAAAAAAAATCACTAATTATCCGGATTACTAAGAATACTATGGACCCTAGATCAAATCAATGATCTCAATTATCCAATTAGGGTTGTTTCCAGAATAGAATCTATAACAAAATCTTTCCCCACCAATATCAATCCATTCCATTACGTTCTATGGATCGAAAATGAATTCGGAGAGTTAAAAACTTATCTCTAGCCTCAAGAATGGTGAAAAACTAGTAGAAGTTGTTTGGGTACGTTCCTTAGCTTTAAAAATTAAAAAGTGTTGAATAAGGTCGGTTAGGAATTTATTATCGACATTAAGTCATGTCTGGTCCGCTACAACGACCACCATCCCACCACAGCGGCATAGCCAAAATGGCAAAAACACCCGCCAAGGTGTCATTCTTGAACCAATGAGCTATTTCAACGGTTCCGAAATCACCATTTCACTACACACCCCTAACCCCTGACGCTCAGAAAATATCCTTTACGGTAAGATCAATTGCGTAAGTTCTACTCGGTCAAATTCAATTTTGTAAAGTCGTGCAGGTTCTTTAACGAGTTATCTAACTACTCCTGCAACCAAAATCATAAATAAATCACCCGATTGCTATCAGATTTTCCTACACTTTAATGACTTCAATTTTGTCCAAATCTAAATTAGTGAGAAATTTTAAGTTACTACCAAAAAATTTCCAACCCATAAATTCTTCCCTATCAATTTTCTATAACAACGAAACCCGATCGTTATAATTTACTTGCTTTCTATTACTTATAATAAAATATCTGTCTCAAAGAGATATTGGAGAGTGTACAGAGGGTATGTAGTACGTGGTGGAATAGTGTGTCCTATGACATGCGTGGTGTGTTGAATAAAATACAATAATTACATGTTGTGCACAAGGAAAATACAAAAAAATATAACAAGTCATGTCATTGTTACTAAAATATACTCTCTTTCTCTTTGTTTCTAATTACTTTTTTTATTTTTGAATTAAAATAACTATAAGAAAATAATTATTGATATAGTAAATTTATCATTTTATCTCTATTAATTATGAAGTTGATACATTAAGAATTTAAAATTTTCAAAATTGTTATCTTTTTTCAAAATAATTAATTGAGAATGTAATATGTAAAACTGAAAAAATGATATTTTTTTAATTTTCAAAATAGACAAGTAATTAGAGATAACTAAAAAAGAGAAATGAACAATTAATTAGAGACAGAGAGTAATACATTATCTCTAATAATAATTAATGAATAGTATAAACATTATTAATAAGGGACGATGAAAATGAATCTGATTTAATAAACCTTTATTTGATTTACTAGATATTTTGAGACGGTGAGTTTTGTCATTTTGACAGGGAAATGAAAGATAATTTGAGAAAACCAAAATATTACTCTCCCGTCCATAATTATTTGTTCATTTTTTAATTGATATGCCTATTAAGAAAACAAAAATTGATAGTAAGCTATTCCCTCCTTCCATAAATGTGTGTCATGTTGCGCTTATCGAAAGTCAATTTGACTAATTTTCAAAAGTAAATTAGATCACATTAATTCGATATTCTAAACAAAAAACTAGATATTCTAAAACTATATGAAAAGTACTATAAATTACATTTTTTGTACATTAATATGATAAAAAATGCATCTTAAAATGTTAGTCAAAGTTTTTATAGTTTGACTCTAAAAATAAAAATCATGACAAGCAACACCGAACAAAGGGAGTAATATTTTAGCCATATTAAGTATGAAGTAGGTGAATAAATACTTAAAATTTTTAAAAAGTTCTATCATTTTCAAAACAATTCATTGAGGGTATAATAAGTAATTTTTATTCTTTCTTGATTTATCAGAATGGATAACTAATCATGGACAACTAAAGAAAATATGAACAAGTGATTATGGACAACTAAAAAAGAAAATATAATCAAGTAATTAGCAACAACTAAAAAACAAATGTGGTAATTATGAACAAAGAGTATATGAAAGATTCAAATTGATGTTCAAAAGGGGAGTGATTAAGCAACTGGGACAATTTTAGAATAAATTTGTGATAATATATTATGTGATTTTATAAACTTTGTTTATTTGGTACGATTGTACAAATCATTGAGACAATTTTGATAATTTTATTGTAGAAATATCACATCTAGGATATGAGAAATCAAGGATTGTATTTATCAATTGATAGTATTGACGTATTGATCAATTGATAGTATTGATGAATAATAATGTTAAGTACATACTCTTTATATAGGAGAGAATTGTAAAGTGTTAAGTTAATTATACTTAGAGTCCTACTATAATACACATTATTATTATAATACTAATATTACAATTATAAATAATATAAATACTAATTGTACTATAATTGTAATAGTAATTCTAGTCGTAATATAATCCTAATCATACTATAATTTTAGACGAAATATAATCCTAATTAACATAGGTAGTCTAATCGTAGTGTGACTCCAATTCTTCAGTAGTGATGTAAACTCGTCAGTCAGCTTCCTTGGACCTGTTCTAACCCTCAGCGTCCTTCTTTATCAACACTTGCCGCAAACACATCAATCAGTTGCGTTGAACCTGTTCCAATCGACAACTTCCTTCTTCTTCAACATTTATATCTTATAAGGTTCTCATGTTAATGAAAAAAAACAATATAAAAATTCTAAATTGCATATCCAAAGAAACCTTTAACATTATCTCATAATTTCATATCATGATTTTTATCACATGGTCAAACACGTCGAGCCCTAAAGATAAAAGATCATGGTCCAATAGCAAAAACACTAGTATCCTATCCTGTTTAAAAAATAATGACTTTCTTTTTTCTTTTTAGTCTGTTTAAAAAAAGAATTGATTTTTTACAATATTTTAATTTTAGCTTTGCACGTGACATGTTTGAGACATTTCTTTCAATCACATTTATCTCTTATTAATTATATTATTAATTAATCATTATAATTTCGAATCGGTTATATTTTTCATAAAATTCTCATAATTTTTGTGGCTTCTTATTTACAAAAACTCATTTACAAGTTTATTCTTTTTATTTTACAGTTTTTCTTTTGAGTTGTAGAAGTTTGGATTTTCTTTATGACAAGAATGGAGGAAAATGATGTGTTAATTTTTCCAAGGAAGCCATGATTTAAAGGTGTATTTGTAACTTCTTTTTCTTGTTAACATGTTGTTTATTCTATCATTTTTTTTTCTTTTTCTTGATTTATTGTGATTTCCACCTTTTTAAAGACTTTGTGTATTCTATTAGAATACTTCAATACGAATCAAGAATCAACAATTTCAAATACTTAAAGAAATAATGAGATATTCAATTTCATAGTGTAAGTTTGACAATGACAATTAGGTTAAGTAGGTGCAATTAGTCCAGGGCTTAGGTGATCTTCTTGGAGAAAACTGTTGCTCACAATGGAAAGTGTTTGTAGAGGAATAATGATTTCTACAGCCAATAAATCTATTTAATAATTTAAGTTATAATAAATCTACATTTAATAATTGAAGTTAGGCATAGACCATGAGATGTGCACTCTTCTACAGCCAATAAATCTATTTATCTTTTTTATTCTTTATTTGAGTTTTGCTTTTCATATTTTTAATTTATTGTTGCAATTAAAAAAAGACAATGTAAAAGCATGAAGGCAATGAAGAGGTGTAAAGGAAAAGAAGATTAGGAAAATAAACATTCACATTTCTTCATTTTGTTAATCAATATTCTTAATTCACAATGTGATATAGACTTCATTCTTTAACTACATTGCTGAGAGGTATTCTTTCATGTTCAAGTCTAATGTTTTAGTTGTTGACCTCTTATATAGGATTCTCATAATGTAATCAATTTGTTAATCTTTCCAACAGATCAAGTCAGCTCAGACATCTCCGACTTGTCAATTCTAATTATGTTGTCGTCTTAAGTATGTCATGTGGAAAGTTAAAGTGTTGCCAACAAAGGAAAGAAGTCATTCTTTTTTAAACAGACTAAAAAGGAAATAAAGTGATTCTTTTATAAAGAGAGAGTATTTAACAACTTATTTGACACAATTGTTTTAGAAATTTTCAGACGAGTACTGCTCTGTTTTTGCGTTATATGTGCAAATGCTGCCCCTGTTTTCGTCTCTGTTTAGGACCAACTGGAATGTGTGCTCAATTTGAAAATAGAAATTAATTGAAAATATAAACATACAAGGAAATCATTCAGTCCTGAGGTTGTGAGGACAACTCACCAAGAAAGTGAAAAGATACGAGGCAAAAATCTTGATCCGAGTAGAACGTTCTCCCATGATCCCTTCGAGGGTAACAAGATGATCATCAAAAATATCATTACAAAGCTCACCAAGGATGCTTCATATAAACTAAGATAATGTTTTTAACATCTTCCAACACAAGCTAGAAACCAGAGTCCTTAGCATAAAAGGGGAAAAAAATACTTAAAGAGGAGAAGATCTATTGCTTCCCAAAGAAAACAAGCTTTCATGGTAAACTCCAAAATCATCTCGTGTCGGAATATTTTTCACTCTTCTAAAGTTGTTTCTTTTCAAGTTGTAGAAGACGACCACATCCCCAAATATCAAAATTATTTCTTCATTCCATGTCCCGAAGGTAGACATATGTTTTCCACACCTAAAGTTAGACCAAATCGATGCTATACTCCTTCACCCAAATACAATTGATTTTATCCTTTAGTATCCGCAAGTCTAGAATAAAATTCTCGTACAAATGATCTTGGTTTGCGAGGCAAAACATCCCTTTCAGATCCAACATTTTCAGGCTAGAAATAGTCTTAAGAGATGATGGATGAGATATAGTAAGGAATTTGTCATTTTCAAAGTCAATCGAAAAAATTCTACCAGGTTTGGCATCAAGACATAGTCCAGCCAACCAATACGCACATTCATTGACAAACAACACTCTCAAGTTCGCATGATATGAATAAGGAAACTCAATAATTTCTTTCCATCTACCATTACCAATATCATTTATCGTAAGTACCTCACATCTTAGTTGTGGAAAGTGAGGATTCCTATAGAAAAAATGAACCACTTTGTATTCCTTATTTGAATGTAGATATCCAAACCCCAAATCTCCACTTTGACAATGTAAAGGGACACGAGTAGGTGTACATTTTGGCAATTCACGCAGTTGTTGCATGGCAGGATTACACAAAAAAACATGACAATCTCCTGTTAAAATGCAAACCAACCCATAGCAGATCAGAATCTGGCAGCACCAATAGAGCTTAGGGAATGTGTCATTATATAATTCATTTCTTTCTCCATCCTCTACTTCAGTGTGTACTGAAACAAATCATACTATACTCCTTTCCTTTAATAAACTGCTATCCACAATAAGAAGTTGGGGAGCATTTTCCGTTGATTGTTTGAGGTGGTGAGAATAGAAGGAAGGATTAATAATAAGGTCATTCCATGGCTTGGATACACACCTTAACATGGATAATGTCTTCACAGGACATCTAACAAAAATAGAGATGATCTCATCATCAGTCAACCTATCAAACTCATTATTTGCAATGTTCTCATTGCATTTTATTGATGTTGTCATCTTCTATTTTTAGGCTGCATTTTCGCAAAAAGAAGAAGAAGAAGTTATAGCCACTAGAGAAAATATTTGCATCACAACTTATGTTTCATACAAAATGAGATTTGTAATATTTTTGTATAAACAAATTACTCTTTTCAATAATATTCAAGGCGTACAAGATCATTTCTTTCTGTGAGTGTAGATGTGGACAACTAAGGTTGAGTACATATGAATTTAACAATAACAAGTCTAATTTCACAAGTGAGATTTAGAGAGGAAGAATATCACTACAACAAAAAAGTAAATTGATAACATCCAAAATTGTTGTAGTGATATTCTTCCCTCTCTAAATCTCACTTGTGAAATTAGACTTGTTATTGTCAAATTCATATGTACTCAACCTTAGTTGTCCACATATACACTCACATAAAGAAATGATCTTGTACGCCTTGAATATTATTGAAAAGAGTAATTTGTTTATACAAAAATATTACAAATCTCATTTTGTATGAAACATAAGTTGTGATGCAAATATTTTCTCTAGTGGCTATAACTTCTTCTTTTTGCGAAAATGCAGCCTAAAAATAGAAGATGACAACATCAATAAGTTGCAATGGGAACATTGCAAATAATGAGTTTGATAGGTTGACTGATGATGAGATCATCTCTATTTTTGTTAGATGTCCTGTGAAGACATTATCCATGTTAAGGTGTGTATCCAAGCCATGGAATGACCTTATTATTAATCCTTCCTTCTATTCTCACCACCTCAAACAATCAATGAAAATGCTCCCCAACTTCTTATTGTAAAAAGAAGTTTATTAAAGGAAAGGAGTATAGTACGATTTGTTTCAGTACACACCGAAGTAGAGTATGGAGAAAGAAATGAATTATACAATGACACATTCCCTGAACTCTATTGGTGTTGTCAGATTCTAATCTGCTATGGGTTGGTTTGTATTTCAACAGGAGATTGTCGTGTTTTATTGTGTAATCCTGCCATGCAACAACTGCGTGAATTGCCAAAATGTACACCTACTCGTGTCCCTTTACATTGTCAAAGTAAAGATTTGGGGTTTGGATATCTACATTCAAAGAAGGAATACAAAGTGGTTCATTTTTTCTATAGGAATCCTCACTTTCCACAACTAAGATGTGAGGTACTTACGATAAATGATGTTGGTAATGGTCAATGGAAAGAAATTTTTGAGTTTCCTTATTCATATCATACGAACTTGACAATGTTGTTTGTCAATGAATGTGCGTATTGGTTGGCTGGACTATATGTTGATGCCAAACCTGGTAGAATTTTTTCGATTGACTTTGAAAATGACAAGTTCCTTACTATATCTCATCCATCATCATTTAAGACTTTTTCTAGCCTGAAAATGTTGGATCTGAAAGGGATGTTTTGCCTCGCAGACCAAGATCATTTTTACGAGAATTTTATTCTAGACCTGTGGATACTAAAGGATAAAATCAATTGTATTTGGGTGAAGGAGTATAGCATCGATTTGGTGAACTTTAGGTGTGGGAAACGTATGTCTACCTTTGGTTCATGGAATGAAGAAATAATTTTGATATTTGGGGATGAGGTCGTCTTCTACAACTTCAAAAGAAACAACTTTAGAAGAGTGAAAAATATTCCAACACTAGATGATTTTGGAGTTTACCATGAAAGCTTGTTTTCTTTGGGAAGCAGTAGATCTTCTCCTCTTTAAGTATTTTTATCCCCTTTTTATGCTAAGGACTCTGGTTTCTAGCTTATGTTGGAAGATATTAAAAACATTATCTTATTTTATATGAAGCATCCTTTGTGAGCTTTGTAATGATATTTTTTATGATCAAAAATATCATCTTGTTATCCTCGAAGGGATTCATGGGAGAACGTTCTACTCGGATTAATGATTTCCCTGTTTCTTTGGCTCCTATCTTTTCACTTTCTTGGTGAGTTGTCCTCACAACCTCAGGATTGGATGATTTCCTTGTATGTTTCTACTTTCAACTAATTAGTGCATCTTATACTATATATAAGGATTTATATAAGCATTCTGTCTTTGTTGCAACTTATCAGTGCTTACTTAGTTCCTCTTCTCTTCTGCATTAAAGAAACACCAAATCTAACTAATATATAATGATATAAACATCTGTGTTCTTGACGTTCACTTTCTGGTACAATTGATTTTTGTTTTTATTTCTTCATTCAATTTCTTTTAATATTTCCACTAGGCTAGGATTTCAATCTTAGTTTTCACAAACAGACATGGAATAACTTAACAAAATGTTATTTCTTTAAGCACAGAAATGTGTTCTTGAAGCAAACACTTCAGCTGACAAAAACAAACCATAGTAGTATATACCTTCAACTGACAATAGTAAATTATACTGACAGCAGTTATTACTTCTTTTTCTCTCCCACTAAGCAAGATTTATCAGAAGCAAATTACACATACAAATAAAGGGACCTACCAAAAGATACTTCAAATGCTTCGGGGTTGAGATGATTCTGAGTAAGCTTTATCGAGATCAGAAGCAAATTTAGCAAGCATCCAAAACTCGGAAATAGTTTCATCAGGAAGTTCCTCCCCGTTTCAAGAAACCGGAGAAGGGTCAGTTAGCGCTTAGAGATCAGTGCGAGGATCAACTCCATACCCTTCCTTCAGAGAGTTCACATTGGCCAAAGACGATCCTGGGGGTCCATCCATGTGGCCTGCTTGAAAAACATCAGTGACAGGGACATCGTAAATGTATTCTCCTGCGGATCGAAAGGCAGCAGGGGAAGGAGGGGAAGCTAGGGGAGATGTTTCAGCAACAAATTTCCCATACAAATAGAGGCACCTATCAAAAAGATACTTCAAAGGCTTTAGGATCAAGGATTTATTAGCCGAAAAGAAACCCTAACCAATCCATGTGGCCTGCTTAACGAACATCAGCGACAAAGACATCGTAAATTGGTCCGCTGGGCATGAGCAGACTGCTTTCACACTCAAATTCCTATTGAGTGTTGTGTGTGCTTTCAAGCAACAAGATTGCTTGCTAAACGAACCCCACTCTGCCGATAAATACGCATTCTTCAACCCTGGCTCCTCTCACTGCTTGAGAGGACCTTACACTTCGCTATCGTGCCTCCTCCTTGTACCAGTTGATGCTGGGGCAGTGCTTAATATGACAGTTTCATGGTCTAAGTGATGCCACTGATAATTTGGGTTCTTGCCCTCAGCGAAGTTTCATTTTGAACATGAAAACAATAAAAGATCCCAGCTTCATCGACGTACTTGCTGCTACATGGAGTCAAAAATAATAATCATACTCATGAATGTCCCCGACGATGAAAGAATTGTAGTTGGAGAACCTAGATCGGCAGTAATCCTCAAAAGACCGATAATGCCTAATTTTACAATCAAATTCATAATCGCAAGTAGAGTCACGAGGCTTCTTTAGATCTACAATCTGTTGGCTACACCTTCTTCCTAAATCCCCTTCAAGATCGATACAACAGCAGCAGCGCAAGTCAAGTGATTCAAGGTGTGGACAGCCATCAAGAATGGCCTGAAGTCCTTCATTTGTCAAGTTATTTTCAATAAGGGCAAGATGCCGCAATCCACGCATACATCTGGCAATGGCTACAGCTTTATCATTGTCTTGTGATGGTGGTGTTCTAACTTTATCAAATGGACTGGCATGCAATACAAAAGACTTGAGCAAAGGGCAAGAGCGGCCAACAATTTCTATATCATCTTTAGTAATAGAGGTGAAGTAAATATGCAACTCCTCCAAAAATGGGAAGTTCTTCGCAGCTGAAGCCAAACCCCCAGATAACCGATTATAACACTTAACAAGTCGGAGATGCCTGAGCTGGCTTGATCTGTTAAAAAGAAAAGCAAATTGATTAATTTAAGAGAACTCCTATCTCAGAGGTGGCAACAAAAAGAAATGAGCAATTACAAGAAAGACTATAAGGAAAAGGACAGCAATAACACCTCAACGGAGTAGAACATGGGCCCAAATTTGAGAATTTCACGTTTAATTTAAATTTTATTCTAGAAAAAAATTCCACAAGAAAAAATCACGAAAAAGCATCTTCAATTAAAAAATTGCTTAAAAAGTAAGATAGTTACTAATAATTCTTTTCTTTGACTTGATTAACTTCCTTCAACGTTCTCCAGTTTAATTTTCCATCTTAATTGTCAAATATTTTGGTAATTCTTTGCAAGGAAAAGTTTAAAATTTTGAATCTAAGAAAATCAACTCAACAACTTAACATACAAAATACCAACTGTGATCAACTCAAAATTGTCTTGTAAAGCCAACAAAAGATACTGCTAGAATTATACTCACCGGAAAAAGTGTTAATGAAGCAAGGTATAATGGCAGAAACAAAATGAACATTGACGTAAGCGAATTTTGAATGGATGGGGGGGGGGGGGGGGGGAGAGATATATTTAGCTAATAAAAGGAAAAAAAGGAACAAAAGGAGAAAAGGAGAGTTGAGGGCTTTAAGCACTCAATGCAGAAATAAAAGAACACAAGTAAGAAGAAGAAAACACAGAGACTCACAACACTCATGAAAAAAATGTTCCCATGGGAAATTGAACTCGTATACGATAGAAACTAAAATATCTTAAACCCTTAACCATTCCACCCACATATCATTTATGTATTGCTGGTGCCACTTCACGTATGTAAACTTATACCAGATATTATCAACTTACAAATTCAGAATTTTAGCCAACGCGTGGCATCCCCACCCTATAAGGTAGATCCTCCTCTAGTTATTGGTATTTAAAAGCAAAAGTTATGACTTCATCTGAACTCCTAACATAGTTACAGGCTTCCACTTCATACAGCATTATCCCATTCCTACTTTACTTCCTAAAATGAAAATGCTAAATCATTATTTCTTGATTCTCCTTCACAGTAGCAAAACAAAAAAGAAGACTCCCCATTACTATCCCATTGGATATAACAAGATCTGTGGCATAGCATCACCCAAAAGAATAAACACAATACATAATGTGAAAATTCTGATTAGTTAGCACATTAATGAGCAAAGAAACCAATGCCCTTCCCAATAAGTTATAGCAGTATAAAGATATTATAATAGGAGGATAAACAGATAATAGTATAGCGCATAATATGTAGGAGGATAAACAGAAAATAGCATAACGCATAATATGTCTGGTGTCTTTATATGGCTAAATGGTCATCCTGGACTTCAAAGTGTGCACAATCGAGCAGACTATGTATCGCCAATAGTATTAAAAGGATAATCAGATTTCTACCAAATGCTAACCATTTTACCGGAACGAAATTATGCAAAGATAAAGATAAACATAGTTCACTCACTCTCTTACAATTTGTTTGGCACTTACACTGTTTGTGAGTATAAACGTAGCAATTGCATTTTATTATGTAAGTTTATGCATCATAATACTTTATCTATTTCTAAGCATTTCATTTTGCTGCAATTGAACAATATCAGTATTCAATAACCTGGGGTTCTTTAATGCTAGAGCTTCTCTTTCATTTCTCATCCAACTCTCAAAACTATGTGAAATTGCAATCCCCTGCATAAATCAAATTCCTTAACCCTGGCACTCCTAATCCCGCCGATGGTTCTCTAAATTTCTCCCTACAGTAGCTTAGCCTAGCTTCAAATATGTAGATTCTTTTTTACATCAAATTCAGGAGTTGTTTATATATAACACTATCTGGACTAGTTCAACAACTCAAATGCATCCCAATAGCGAGCTCAATATGAAGCAATTCCTCTCAACAAAAGGTTTTGACTTTATGTTAGAGGACAAGCAATTGGATCAAATCTGAGAAAGAGTGATCAGTACCTCGAAGCAATGTAGCTGAGCAAGCGTTCATTACCAAAATTGTCTATGCTAATTTTGAAAGTCTGGCCTTGGCTACGACGCACAGCAAGACGGCATATCTTCTCCAACACATAGGCCAATTTGGATCTACAAACGACACGTTTCAAGTCAATAACACGCCACATAGCGGGGTCATGGCACACTTTCCACCACGTACTACAAACCCTCTGCGCACTCTCCAATATCTCTATCGTCCCTAGCCGTTGGAGAATGTCTATCGTGATTTCCGCCGGAAGCTCAACCCACGGCGGCGATGGCGGTGGTGGTGCAGTAGAAGATGCCTCCACTTTTTCCTCTGCATTCGACATTTTTTTGCTATTTTTTAGGGTTCTGATTTTAATCTTTTGAACAGAAAACTGATAAAACGAAACGAAAGAGAGTTGCGCGTGCAACTCCTCACCGCTCGAACTGATTTTTGGTCGAAATTTAGCTCGATTCAAATTTGATAAAACTCACTTTAATCACATAATAATTATGTTAAGTTCAATTAAATTATCAATATGTTAACATGAAAATAAAAATAAAAAAGGGTAAATCTCATTTATGGTAAAATTATCATTGTCCATTATAAGTTTTTAATTTAAAAAATAAAAACTTACAAAAATATACTACAAATAAAAAATATGTTATTGCTATTATAGCAATAATAATATATTTTTTCCATTCTATAACATTTAATACATTTATAATACACTTTGAATTCATATTACAAAAAATAATTTATTATTCACATGTAATATAAGTTTTATTGATGGATAAACATTTATCTCATATTTTAATACACTTGTAATTTAATGTATCTTCTTACCAAACATGCATAATATATTTTATAAAATAGTTATAATACATATTATTGCATATTTAATTCACTTTTAATACATATTGCAAATTTAATATAGTATTGCTATAAATGATAATAAATTAAAAATATTGCTAAATCAATAATTATTTAATAAAAGATATCTATCCAAGTAACTTTTTCTTTAAAAAATCCTTCAAATCGATACAAAAATAAAGTGTTGATATATTAATCTGATACATGAGATACATTAATCTTTAAATAAGATACATAACATTTTATACATGATACAGTAATCTAATGTACATTTTATACATGATACTAATCTGATGCGCGAAATACATTAATTTGATGCATGAAAATGAGGGATTTTAGAAATTTATAAATCTAATATGGGATAATAATAATAATAATAATAAGAGAACTTAAAGGTAAAATTTCTATCATTTTTCTAAAATAAAAAATGAAAGCATAAGAAATGTAGGATATACTCGCTCCTCCCAAATCTCAAACCCAAAGACAAAGAGGCTTTTACTAGTTAAACAATTTAATAAAACATGCTATCACCTATCAAATTCATACTGATTAATTACTCATTATAATTATAATTTGTTATAATTGTCATTCGCAACTAACATTATTACATTAATTATATGGATCGATTTTCAGTTTGTATAATTAGTCATGTTTGTATATGTATATTTTGCCAGAATATACAAATACATATGTATAATGTACAATTATATAACCGGTATACATGTACAATTCACATCTCTCTCACTCTCTGCCCTCTCTCGCTTGTTTATTTTCTCCCTCTCCCAATCTCGCTTACTATATATGCAAATACATATGTATAATATACAATTATCTAACCAATATACATATACAATTCACCTCTCTCCCACTCTTTGGCCTCTCTCGCTCGTCTCTCTCTTCTTTATAACGTGTATCTACAAATTGTAATTATCAAACTACTGTTATAGAAAGTAATTAGACTATTTTTGAGTGATTATATGTAAAAAAAAAATCAATTTAAAAGGGGAATTTAGACACCTTGAGACATAATCTTTGTAGTTTATTATTTGGTGGACATTAGATCCGTTCGATTTTGAAAATTTTAATTCAATTTTACCAATTTGAAAAATCAAAACTGAATCAAAATTCTTTTCGTATGATTCAATATTCTGATACAATACACACATAAACTAGTTACTTCAAATTTGACGATATTACAATTATATAAATAGTCAAATATAATATATTTTCTATAAGATTATAAAACCTGAAATTACATTTTTAATTAATTGAACGTCAAATGAATCGCTACAAAAAATAATACAAAAATCAAAGGAGGATAAATCGACGGAGAGAGACGGTCCAAAAGGTCAAGGGAATACGTTTTAAATTAAAATAAAATAATAGAAACCAACGAACTTTAAGAATTTTTCAAGTTCTATTTTTCTTGCTTTGTATTAAATGATTATTAAATACTTCAAAAATAACTTCTCTTTTCTAAAAAAAAAAATGTAATGATGGACCACAGAAAATCAGTCATGGCATAAAAGGAATTTTTTATGACTACATAATGATGAATTTAGTGATAGAGAATGATAATATTTAAATAACGATTAGAACAAACATATAATCAAAGACGAAATAATAATTTTAATTTTATGATTTTAAATTTTATTAGTTGGGTTCTAAATTTAATATTGATGCATATTTAATATACTTTTTAATATAAATATATTATTTGAACAAAAAATATTGAGTTTGACTGAATCTATACCTAAATAAAATATACCTTACAATAATAGCTAACAACTATCCCAACAAAGTTGGTTCTCTTGTGTGTATGAAATGACATTACAATAAATAATGTGAAGTTGCTATATTGAATCATGATAATAAGTTAAAAGAAACCAAAGATGGTGTCTTAAAATTGAGAGTCCAAATTAAAGTTTGAATAGTTTAGCTTTCTACTTGCTCCTTACCTACTTAATTCTTCATAGTCTTTTAACTTTCAAGTTTTCTTGGCAATAATTTTGTGATATTTTAGTGTCTCCAATCCAACCAAAGATGTGATAAAATTGAAGTAGTAAAAGGTAATTAATCTCATCATGACTCCCATGGTACAAGAACTTAATTTTCCTCAACTTCAAATACCTCTAACCATCAATTCAATTTCTCCAATCTTACCATCAAGTCCCATCCCTCCATCCTATGGTGACACCCTTTACCTATCAAATCTTGATGATATGATTGGATCTCGCGTTTTCACTCCAACCATGTATTTCTATCGATCCAATGGAAAAATGGATGTGATGACGATCATCAATGTGTTGAAAGAAGCTCTTGCAAGTGTATTGGTACCATACTATCCTTTCTCAGGTAGGCTACGCGAAACAAAAGAGGGAAAGTTAGAAGTATTTTTTGGGCCTAAACAAGGTGTGCTTCTAGTTGAGGCTTGTTCAGAGATGAAGATACTAAATCTTGGTGATTTAACAGTCCCAAATCCTGCATGGAAAAACTTGGTTTACACATTTCCAAATGAAGAACAATATAAAGTGATTGATATGCCATTGCTAATAGCACAAGTAACGCGTTTTAGCTGTGGTGGATTTAGCCTTGGTTTGAGGGTTTGTCATTGTCTTTGTGATGGGGTTGGAGCAATGCAATTCCTAAGTGCTTGGGCTTCAACCGCGAGGTTGAACAAATTGACACTCGATCCCAAACCATGTTGGGATCGAGAGACACTTATCCCTAATGATCCGCCATTCATTCAATACCCACACATTGAATTCAAAAGAATAGATGATGCATTTAGTTTCACGAGGAGACTTTTTGTTCAAAAATGTTATCGTGTTACTCGAGACTTCCAAGCTCATTTGAAGACCTTAGTTGGTCCTAACATCTCATGTACCACCTTTGATGCAATGGCGGCTCATGTGTGGAGGTCATGGGTCAAGGCACTCATCAATGTTAGCCCTCTCGATTACGAGTTAAGGCTAACATTTTCAGTAAATTGTAGATCTAGACTTACAAATCCACCACTCAAATCAGGTTTCTATGGGAATGCAGTATCTGTGGCATGTGCTACTAGCACTGTCTCGGGAATTGTTAATGGATCTATCTCTGATACCATATGTCTGGTACGAAATGCAAGGCTTTCTGTCTCCAAGGCATATTTGAGGTCAACTATTGATTATATCCAAGTTAATAGGCCTACAAAGCTAGAATTTGGTGGTAAACTTACTATAACTCAATGGACTAGATTTTCAATGTATGAATCTGCTGATTTTGGTTGGGGAAAGCCCATTTATGCTGGCCCAATTGATCTCACACCAACACCACAAGTTTGTGTTTTTTTGCCACAAGATAATTCTGATGGAGCTATGCTTGTTTGCATTTGTTTGCCAGAGGATGTTTCACATAGATTTACTGACATTTTCTGCCTATTAAACTAACTGTATTTATTTTGGCTAACAACTTGGCTTCATTTCCAACTATTGTTGCTTTATTTTTTATTTTTTTTAAATCCAATATTCATCATGTAGCTTTCCTGAAATTACAATAAAGAACATCTCTTTTTACCTTTTTCTCAAGTCAAATTTGCATATCTAAATTATTTAAAGTAAATGATAAAATAACACAATTAAAGTATCTCGATTTTTTCGTATTTGAACTATCAAATATGTGATTTTTCTATCTAACCTACATTGGAAATCATACGGAAAATACCTTCATCACGAATACATGGAAATCTCGTGGTGGACCGGCATAAGCCATCTTTGACTTCATGAGGGATGGTGAATAGGATATTGCATCAGTGCCTTTGTTATTTTCTGTCAAATGCAACAGTAACAATATAACTACAAGCCTTATGCAACATGTTAGGCTTCACAGATCTGGAGGTGGAGTACTTGTTCTCACAGATTTGTCACTGAAATGATCCAAGACATGTTCACTAGCAATTATAAACTAAAGAATGTTATTAATAAGAATTTGATAAACTGACCTCCGTTAACGCAAATCAAGTTGCAGATTGTCGAACCAAACATGTCTCCCCATCATCAAGAGCGGCTCAAGGATATTAGTGGTCTAAAACAAAAATTAAATGAGTCCTTAATAAACTTGAATTCTTAATAACTTATGTATAATTGATTTCTTCTAGTTTTCAGTTGATAATATAACCATTTTTATTTTAAATTATTTTTTATGAGATATAGTACTTCAAATATGTCAAATTTCTTCTAATAATTTTTTTATTTTCATGAAATATTTACTTTTTCTACAAATAGTATTCAATATTTGTTAAAAAATAATAACTTATAACCTATTATTATTAAAAATAATGCCCCTTAAATTTGGAGGCCTAAGGTACATTTTTTTTTTTAACATTGTCGAGACACCCTGATGCTATAGGTCTATACATAGACAGTACACTTTGTCTGGATGGTTGTAGGGTTATAACATTACCACTGAATGCCTTAAAGCAGCTTCCAAGAGTGAAAGAA